TAAGGTCTATCTATTGTTTTTGTTATTATTTGTTTTTTCCTTTTTTCCATCTTTTTGTGAACAGTTTAGGTTCTTCTATATTATTTTAAATAAATAAAGTACGGAACCTAACACTCTTCACCCACATCTATATCCTTCAAGAAGTCGCTGCAATATTTATGGGAAATATCAGTAAAAGCTTCAGAAGATCAATAATTATTTGAACTTTTATTATTATTGCCGCAAGTTTATAAAAATACAGCTCATTTTCATATTCAATTCATGTGCTTCAAAGCCGAAAAAGAAATTTATAGAAGATATAGACCAATCATTATCGAATTCTATACTCGTGTATAAATTAGGTATTCGAAAAACTCAATTCTGATTAAAAATTTCAAGTAACAAGCTACGAATAAATAGGGTCAACAAGTACAAAAATGAATGATTATGACAAAGTTCGAAAATGTTACAAAAACTTTTTCAGTATAATTTTCGATCAACTGAATCCAGACGAAAATTTCATTGAAAAATGCATCCAATCCTTAAATTATTTAAATAAAATTACTCTCCAAAATCGGAATAATACAATTTAAACAGTACTCGTTGATTTGCTTAGATTGTATTAGTGTCTTCCAAAGACAAACCATTAAGATTCGTTTCTAATCACATCTGCAATGTCGGTGATTATCAGACATAAAAAAGTTCCAATTTTTATTACAGAAAAACTCTGCAAAAACATATGTAAGATCGTTCGTTTTACAAAAACATGGAATGTACTATCATGAGTTTACCCGAAATTTCAAGTTAATATTAGTATTGTCCATGTACATTCGAGCTAATGTCGAATATCTACATCTATATTTATTTTAAAAACTAATGAATGACTGATTCTTAACTAAGTTTAACATATAGAGTTTATTTGAAAGTATTTCTGGTTTGAAAGAAAAATCCTGACATGTTTCTTGCACTCAAAAAGAAACGGCAAATTCTTGGTCTCTAATATTATATTCGATTGTAGTCGATTCTTTTCGATCATTAGTAATCAAGGCAGTCAAACGTTGTTTCAGCCATAATTTAAATTCTGTATTGAATGATTGTGGTGAGTCTTGTTGTGTTTGTAGTGTTAATATAAAATAACATAATTTGATATATTTAGTATCAAATATTGATGCCAAAATATCGTAAAATTTGTCGACTGGAAAATCCATTTGAACGTTCATCTTTAGAAACATTAAATTTGTTGAGAATGTATTCAAGATTCTGATTATATCTTCCAGTAATGGTGGATCACTATTAAAATTAATGGACAGAATTCGAATCTGCTTTGTTAATATTTCAACAACAATTGATGAATTGAACAAATCCAATAGATAGTTGTAGGATAGAGTAAGTTTACAGACATTAGGCATTTTATTGAGAAGACAATACACTAATGTTCTTGATGGATAATTGAAATTTGTCGACGCATATGTGGTAAAATAGAGTTCAATGATTTTTGATAAATCAAGAGTAGAATTCATTAGATCAGAACAGATCAAACTAAAGAAAAACGATTAAGCCAATATGAAAATGTTTTTTTCGTGAAACAATCTTTCAAAAATGGGAATAATATTCACAGATTCAAACCCAATATTTTTTCATTAATGTCAATTGAAATTGATAGAAATATTTCTTTTCTGATCATACTTAGATTTGAGAATAAAAGTAGAAAATGTTTCTTAAATAAATTATTATTCATACCTGTTCATCGAATCATTTTCTATTGGTATTGTTGTCAATTGTGAATGAACTACTATCGTTTTTACTTTTGGATAATTTGTTCTGTCTCGATTTTTCAATCCCATTTCTACATTATTATCATTTAATGTAACTTTCAATATTCTTACATTTTCATTTATATCAATCATATTATATTTTCTAGTCATAAACTTTTCCGTGCCATAAAACTGTACACTATATCTTTCATCACATGCAGCTTGTGAATAAGTATAAATTTCTAAAAAAGCTATTTTAGGAGCATGATTGTAATTCATAATAACAGGATCGTTTATCCATTTGTAATCATTATTTTCGAATGATTGAATGAGTAAAGGTGACGGACATTGTTGAACAACATGACCTCAAATAAAAAAAAAAGTGTTACAATTTATATGTACGGATGAACACTGAATAACATGGAACTTACCAGTGACTCGTATATAGAATTGAAGTTCTTCTAATTTTAATAGGTTTTTGGAAATAAAATCATGCCATATTGTTGATGAAGCAAAGTTCAAATCAGAAGTCCACGTTAAAAATGTTAAATGTTTTAGATTGGGAAATAATTTTAGGACGAGATGAAAGTCCGTTAATGATAAATAATCAAATGATATTTCAAGACGATTTAAAAATACTAAAACACAAATATACTTAATTTATTTAAGAACAAGCAGAAGACAATCATAGTAGTGACATCGGAGATGAAGAAGGCACGTCAAATGATACAATTTCCTTGTTTCTATTTGTCAACGAAATTCGCATTGTATCAGAGATTCCTCACACCGCAACACTACGTCATCTTACTATAAATGTTAAGACACACGTCTATGAATAAGCATTGTATATTATTCTCTTACAACAATAATTCTAGTTCAATCCATCAAGTAAATGTTTTATATGAAATATCTATTAGAAGATTATAATAATAACTGACACATAAATAATCGTAATCTTTAGGATTTTCAGCTTGAATTTCTTGTTTCTACACTTTTTTTAACTACATATTTTGACACATGATTCATCGTCAAATTTTCCATAAATAAATGTGAAAACCTCGGATTTAAATCCGACTGTTATGTATACTTCAAAAGACGAACAGATATATTCACTTTGTTTTTTATTAACAGAGATATATCGAGACTATTGGATTTCTCCATGCAGTTTTTAGACCTTTTTCAGGGAATGTTTTCTTAGAAAGCTACGATTTGGTTCAAAACTAATATCAAATTCGGAATCAGCATTAAAAACTGAGTCGATTTATATCTATTGTGAAGAATTCTGAAAAAAAAATGTTTTTTTTTTGAAAAAATCCCCTTAACTCCCCCGTTTCAGGGTTGGTCTTGTCAGTAATGACAATTTTTTCTATAACTCAGTCATTTCTTGACGGATCCTTCTCATCGTTCTTCTCTCGACCGAGACATTTTTAAGACTGAACTATGTAGAAAATTTCATAATGAACTGATTCTCCTTTCGAAAGTTATCGTGTAAACGGACGGACATACTGATCAATTCTAGTGTATGAAATTTTTGAGTACACAAAAAAAAAACGTGACTTTCGCATGATTTGCATCGGTCCACAAGTTGATATAGTTTTGCTCGTTTGCATATTTGGCAATTTGAACATAAAATATCTTCATATACTACAGTTTATATTTCAATCGAATACAAAATAAGTTCACATTTCTTCCAGATTATTCATTTCCTTAGTACAAATACACTATTCTTTTTCTACAAGTACTTAAGAATGATATTTATCATAGAACGAAGTCTTTTAGTAATCAATATGTATCTTGCAATGACAGGAGTAGGTCATTCGTAAATTATAAATTGTTCTAAAACGAAGTTTCTCTTACTGGATAATTGAAATCTATCACCATAAAGCAAATTATCAATTATTTTTTTATCAATTGGGGTTGGATCCTTGCGATGTTCATAAACTATCGATACTGCCATTCGTTGAACATTTTTGCCAACATATTTGACCAATTCCAAGAAATTCCTCATATAGCAACTATTCAATTTTAAATATTCAAGTTCAGTCCATGGTTGAATAGTATTATCATTAAAATGAAATAGAATAGGATTAAATGAATATAAAATCAAACGTTTTAATGAACGAATCGAAAATAATGCTGTTGTTATATAGGGAGATTGTATCAATGCATCATAAATATTCAAGTAAGACAAGTTCGTTAACACATGCAATTTCGATAATATTTTATCTAAAGTAGAAAGTCAAATTTCTTATTTCAAACTTCAGATAGATATAAATGAATACCAAGATTTTCTATGGATGGTTGCGAAATAGTTAATATTCTCAAATTGTTGAAAAGACTCATATCAATATGTTGATTGAACCATGTTACACGATCATATTCGTCACATAACTTCAAACTATAAATTTGAGATATAAATGGTTGCTGATTGGAACAGTAATAGTCAAATGCATATTTAAACATTGATAACATTGATAAATCCAATTTAAATTTTTTTGAATATAAAATTTTATTTATACGTAAATTCAAATTGTAGAAGGCACGTTGTAAATCAATGAGTGGTATAAATTGACATATGTAGAACAATAATTCATTTGGTAGATCTTCGAATTTCAACTTTGATTGAAATGTACCGATCTAAGAATATAAAGTCAAAACAGAGTTATAAATGTCATCGGATTATTAGTAAGTAGTTTCATCAATAAAATTCATCTGAATAGATCGTATTATGATGATGTTATTCGTACTTCGAATATTTTTTAGAATAGTAATTTATCGATTTGTATCAATTTTCATGGTTAATCGATTACTAAAACAGAGCTCAACCTGATCGATTGATACAAACATTAATGATATTATATACGAGATTTTTCAGAGAATCGATAAATAAATAGTTAATGAATGGAAAATGAGTATTTTAAACATTTAAGAGGAACTTAGTCTGCAATAGACTTTCTAAATATCAGATAATCTCTCAAGCTCACATTTTCGAGACTCAAAAATCGCATAACTTACATTAAATTCATCTATTCTGGCTATTTTCACACGTTTTGTTGATTCATGTTGATCCAGATCGAATGATACTAAAGATGCTATTGACTTCCGACGTGAAACTGTTGAAGTCATGTTGATGATTTAAGCGATACTAAATAACCAAAAAACAAATAGGCTATATATGTATCACAGTACTAAATCTGACGAGAAATATATTCCTTTGTTCTGCAGCGTTATGGCCTAATGCACTTTGACTGATGTATAAGATAACTACTGACAGAGAACGTCCGTTATTTCTTTTTTTCTTTAGTCATGTCTGCTTAGCGGTCACGTGTTATTCTATAACAAAGCATTATGAACAAGCGTACTTTTATTAGCATAAGAGATGATTAATAAAAAAAAACTAAGTCTGTTATTTCTTTCTTTTTTTTCTGTTAGTTCTTTTCGCTCAATAGTCGTCTCTTCGTTCATTGCGTGAGACTATAGTGAAATGCAAGTTTAATGTAACAGATGAACATAATAAAGAACGAGTGGACATGGATGTGGATCTTGGTGTAAATTTCTTATCAATCTACACTCATACCCTCAACATAGCCATATTCACATTTTGCTGGAGTCACGAGACTCATTGATCTGACGGCACTTTTAGGGTGTGAGTGTGGAGTGAGACTGTTCAAAAATTGATACATCAACACGCGCACCCACGTCCTCCTCCATAGTTAATAGCTAGACTTAAAATCAGCAATTCGTCCAGGAAACTATAAATCCTGAGAGAAACGTGTAATCATGAAATGTCAAAGCTTTTCGCAGTCTTTAAACAAGATCTTAGAATAATCCTCAACACTTTTCCATTGTTGTTACATCAGAATTTCAATGATTTCTAATTTAAAAAAAAATTTGACTACATATTGCAGAATTCTACACTATCGTTCATTTCATAGTTAAATTCCTGTGAGCATTTGTGAATAACTTTTTATTGGCTCAAGTTCCCGACCTCGGAGTTTTTGCATTGGAAAGAGTAGAGCTCTGAGGCGTCTATGCATACAACATTCACTAGAACAAAAGATATTTTTCCAAACTACCAAATTTTATCCTAAACTGCCTTAGCATATGCTGTAAAATTACTGTAATTTAAAATGATCGTGTTGACGAAAGAGATCATTTAGACATAATAGAAGTGTTGACGTTATACTATATATACAGGACCATTTGGTATATTTTCAGATTAGGTTATCATAAAAACTAATAAAAATATAACGATGGACAAACACAGTTTGAAAAAATGTCTTTGGTTCTAGTAAATGTTATGTAGATAGAAGTTTCAGAGCTCACTCTTTCCAATAATGAAATCCCGAGCTATATCACCGGAGCCAATCTCAAGTTATTCAAAAAAATACCCACGGCTATTTAACTTTGAAATAGACTATAGTTGAATTTTTCATATTGAAAATTGAGATCAAACATCATTATAAATTCTTTTAGGAAATTTTACCAGGAATCTTTTGGAAAAAAATTAAGTGTAAGAAATCAAAACTAAAAGAGATTTTGATGAAATACTGAGACCATCATTCTTTATGCGTCATCCAATAGTTTGTCCAGGTAGGCTAAATAAATGTATCTTATCTTGCAATGTTGACATAAATCATCTTCTTACACAGAACATTAAGATGGAAATAGAAAGTTTTTGTTTTTTTGTAATTCATTAGACTGCATTTAAAATGTTTATTTTACAAAAGAAAAATGGATATTAACATTTGATCATTGTTATTGGAGAGAAAATTGAGTGCAGTGAGTATCTTCAGCCCACTTTTTCGAACAAGAGCAATTCATTAAGGAAGATCTTATAACTTTGAAATGCATTTTTGTTTTTCTGAAAACTACAGTAGGTCGAAAAATGATCTATAACACCCCCTATTTTCTTTTTTCTTTTCTCTTGTTTTACCTTATAGAAACTAACTTAGGAGCTCCTATCACTAATATCTTGTAGCACATCATTTATAGTATATATACTGTTATTTCCGGCTTGGAATATCTTTCAAACTCTATTTTAATGAAAAATGAAGAGAGACACATGAATTTTTTATAAAGAAAAATTATCCGTAGAGAGAGAGAGAGAGAGAAAATGTGTAATTTATCTATTAAAAAATCTAAGCGATTTCTGGATTATTCTTCAGAATGTTCGAGAATCTTCCAGTAGAAAATTCTAGAACAGTTAATTGAAGTATAAATAGAAAACTACGTTGTTCATCGTAGTAAAATATACTTCTTGGCACCGACAAAGTGAGTATGATATACTAATGCATAAATGAAAAATTTTCTTTATTTCTTGGATGCGATTAGTATAAAGCGCATTTTATTTAATCAGTTGCTTCTCTTTTTTTCAATCGGTGCGAACAAGTACATAACTGCTTTTGAGTAAGCATATTGTGCTTGCTGATGTATGTTAAACAATATAACCAATCTGTTTTAATGAATTCCTAGTTAGAATATAACATAATTTGAGATTCTTACTGTATTTTGTTTTGATTGATCGAAGAAACATTGGTACTGTGATATAGAGATGAGTTCAGCTCAGCTTTTTTTCAGAATTTAAATTAAGACAAATTTAAAAGATGTTGAATCGAAAGGAATCGAGAAAAAAACTTTTAAAAATTTCATTACAAATAACCAAATACAGTAAACTCTCTCTAATATGATTATCATCGGAACCGACCATAAGTGTCCATTATTGAGAGGTTTTCAGTTTTTATTTTGAACTTATAAGTATTTAGTTACAATTGGTTTGCTGCTGTACAATGTGATGTTTTTCTTCTTAACATGTATTGACATGGTTTGATATTACTATTTGTTAACCCAAGCACGATGATATATTACACGAGACTCTGCTGCGATTGACTAGTCTTGTTTTTTTTTTGTCTTTAAACTATGCATGGTTAGTATATCCCTTTGTTATATGTATCTTATGATTATTTGCCATAACGTAATACACATAAAATCATATTTATCTCGTTCCACGCGTCAGTGATAGAACATATGGTACTCACATCATTACAGATATTATTATTTGAGCTTGTATCATACTTAATTGAATTCAATATACAACAGGCTGAACCGTTTTTTGATTATATTGACATAAAATAATAATATCTTGCCAAAACAAAAGATTTTATTTCAGATTGAAATAATTACAATGAAATTATTTTTGATATTTGTTTCATTATTTATTTTGTTTTAAATAGTCGAATCAAAATCAAATTTGACATTGAATACATTTTTCAATTATTTTACTTATTAATACAAAAAAAAACTGATTAAAAATAATTTTTTTTGTAATTATCAAATTTCAATGATCACCTAGTGGAAAATGATTTGTCTTTTTAATGAAAAATAATTCTGCGTCACATATTTTCGTTTTTTTGACATCTATTCAAATCTAATTTAAAAGCTGAACAAAATATTTATTTATATTCAGTTGAATCAGATTAAGTCAAATCTATTCGAATAGGAAATTATATTCCTCTTTATTATGCTGTTATTAATTAAAACATGAATAATTATTATAATTAAATATCGATCATATCATATTTAAGATTAATAATAGAAATGATATGCCATTGTTGACAACAAATATTGCCGTTCTTCTTTTTCTAATTGATGAACTTTTATATAATTCAATACAAGAAAAAACTTATTTTTAGTTCAATCTCATTCGTTATGGAAAATCGAGATAATTTCCAAATATATTCACTTGATTTGAAACATGTTTCTTCAATTAATAAATGGACAAGAGATCAAACCATAAAAACAAATCTCCAACTAACACCAGATAATAAAAGAATCATGTTCCAAAGAATTCCTCTTGGATCAACTGAAGGATTATCCAATCTTACTGAAGATGTGTGTGTGTGTGTGTGTGTGACTTTTAGTCTTCATCTCATCCATTTCCACATTTACATCCTATAGAATTTCTGTAAAATTCGATTAATTAATGAGAGAAGATCTTCAAAGACTTTTTGATAAATTTAAAAGTTTTACTCACAAAATTTTAAACTGAAACATTTAAAATACCATTACAAAGATAATATCAATAAAAAAAAAGTAGCTCCATCTGAATGACAAAGGTATATGATGACTAAAAGATATTTTTTTGCAATTACCAATACTCAATGCTCAATTTTTTTTCAAAGAACTCATTTCATATGAATGCACATAAACTTAAAAATAATATAGTAAATCAATGTTTCCTATAGAGAAAAAACAATTTTTCTATCATTGTTTCTTTCAACCTTTAAGAGTAAACGATGATTTTTTTTTTGTCTTTTCGAAAACAAAGATAAATTTGATAGACATTTTGAATTAATGGTTCAAAATAAAGTATCTATATCTGTATGATTCTCTTAATACATACAAATAAATCTACATTCATCCAGAATTAAGACATTTGAAAGTATTTTCTCATTGCAGATCCTTTCTAAGAAAAAACAAATTTTAATAATAAACAAAATAACTTCAATAAAAGATAAAAATACTACATTTGTCTATAATTGACTAATTGTTGAATAATTTATCATTCATCTCAATATGAAAATAAATGAAAGTTTCTTCTTGTTTTCTATATTAAGAACTATTCAATTTACTTTCTCTTAAAGATCAGCGTTGTTTGTTACAATATAAATTCTTTCAAACAACACAAGATTTTGTACAATTTATTGTAAAGAATTTTTTACGTCACGATTTACATGTACAATTCATAAGTTTGATATTTTCTTTTTTTATTTCTATGTTATATTATCCTTGACAAAATAATTATGACAAATATTTTAGTTAGATTTTATCAGAAAAAAATTTTTTCAAGATCCAATCTTAGTATATTAAAAGAAGGTATCAGTGTGAGTTCGAATAGTTTATGTAGATAATGAGTTTATATGTAAAATAAACAAAAATGCACAATCATATTCTATTATCTATGATTTTATTATTAAATAGTTGCAAGTCTGAAAAAATCTATTTTATTGAATTAAACAAGATTAGTCTAAGTAATAAATTTAGAAATATTACAAAAGAAACATGAGAAGTTCGTTTACTAACTTTCTCAATATTTTAAATATATTCAACAAATATTCTGAATAGAT